GTGATGTTGGTGTATCGTGTCTGAAGGTGATGTTGGTGTATCGTGTCTGAGGGTGATGTTGGTGTATCGTGTCTGAAGGTGATGTTGGTGTATCGTGTCTGAGGGTGATGTTAGTGTATCGTGTCTGAAGGTGATGTTGGTGTATCGTGTCTGAGGGTGATGTTGGTGTATCGTGTCTGAAGGTGATGTTGGTGTAATCGTGTCTGAGGGTGATGTTAGTGTATCGTGTCTGAGGGTGATGCTGGTGTATCGTGTCTGAAGGTGATGTTGGTGTATCGTGTCTGAGGGTGATGTTAGTGAATCGTGTCTGAAGGTGATGTTGGTGTATCGTGTCTGAAGGTGATGTTGGTGTATCGTGTCTGAGGGTGATTTTGGTGTATCGTGTCTGAAGGTGATGTTGGTGTATCATGTCTGAAGGTGATGTTGGTGTATCGTGTCTGAGGGTGATGTTGGTGTATCGTATCTGATGGTGATGTTGGTGTATCGTGTCTGAGGGTGATAAATACATCTGTTTGTGAGATTACTAAATAAGATCACTAATGTAAATAGACATATATCTCAGATTACTAAATACGATCACTTATGTAAATACACATGTATCTCAGATAACTAAATACGATCACTTATGTAAATACACATGTATCTCAGATTATTAAATAAGGTCACTTATGTAAATAGACATGTATCTCAGATTACTAAATACGATCACTTATGTGAATACACATATATCTTAGATTACTCAATGCGATCACTTATGTAAATACACATGTATCTCAGATAACTAAATACGATCACTTATTTAAATACACATGTATCTCAGATAACTAAATACGATCACTTATTTAAATACACATGTATCTCAGATAACTAAATACGATCACTTATGTGAATACACATATATCTTAGATTACTCAATACGATCACTTATGTAAATACACTTGTATCTCAGATTACTAAATAAGATCATTTATGTAAATACACATATATCTCAGATTACTAAATACGATCATTTATGTAAATACACATATATTACTTAATACGATCACTTATGTAAATACAAATATATCTTAGATTACTAAATCCGATCACTTATGTGAATGCACATATATCTTAGATTACTACATATGATCACTTATGTGAAAAGACATGTATCTAAGATTACTAAATACGATCACTTGTGTAAATACACATATATCTCAGATTACTAAACACGATCACTTATGTAAATACGCATATATCTCAGATTACTAAACACGATCACTTATGTAAATAACATATATCTCAGATTACTAAATACGCTCACTTATGTGAATACACATATATCTTAGATTACTAAATACGATCAGTTATGTAAATACACATGTATCTTAGATTACTTAATACGATCACTTATGTAAATACACATATATCTCAGATTACTAAATACGACCACTTATGTAAATACACCTGGATCTTGGATTACTAGGATCACTTATGTAAATACAAATATAGCTTAGATTACTAAATACGATCGCTTATGTGAATACACATATATCTAAGATTAATAAATACGTTCACTTATGTAAATACACATTTATCCTGTATTACTAAATACGATCGCTTATGTAAATACCCATGTATCTCAGATTACTAATTAAGGTCACGTATGTAAATACACATGTATCTCAGATTACTAATTAAGGTCACGTATGTAAATACACATGTATATCAGATTACCAAATACGATCACTTATGTAGATACACATATATCTCAGATTTCTAAATACGATCACTTATGTGAATATACATATATCTTAGATTACTAAAGACGATCACTTATGTGAATACGCATATATCTTAGATTACTAAAGACGATCACTTATGTGAATACACATATATCATAGATTACTAAATACGATCACTGATGTAAATACCCATGTATCTCAGATTACTAGTTGAGATCACGTATGTAAATACGCATGTATCTTAGATTACTTCATACGATCACTTATGTAAATACAAATATAGCTTAGATTACTAAATACGATAACTTATGTGAATACACATATATCTAAGATTACTAAATACGATCAGTTATGTAAATACGCATGTATCTTAGATTACTTCATACGATCACTTATGTAAATACTCATATATCTCAGATTACTAAATATGATCACTTATGTGAAAAGACATGTACCTAAAATTACTAAATAAGATCACTATTGTAAATTCACATGTATATCAGATTACCAAATACGATCACTTATGTAAATACTCATATATCTCAGATTACTAAATACGACCACTTATGTAAATACACCTGGATCTTGGATTACTAGGATCACTTATGTAAATACAAATATAGCTTAGATTACTAAATACGATAACTTATGTGAATACACATATATCTTAGAGTACTAAATACGATCAGTTATGTAAATACACATGTATCTCAGATTACTAGTTGAGATCACGTATGTAAATACACATGTATCTTAGATTATTAAATACGATCACTTATGTGAATACGCATATATCTTAGATTACTAAATAGGATCACTTATGTAAATACAAATATAGCTTAGATTACTAAATACGATAACTTATGTGAATACACATATATCTTAGAGTACTAAATACGATCACTTATATAAATACACATATATCTTAGAGTACTAAATACGATCACTTATATAAATACACATATATCTTAGAGTACTAAATACGATCAGTTATGTAAATACACATGTATCTCAGATTTCTAAATACGATCACTTATGTAAATTCACATGTATCTTAGATTACTTCATACGATCACTTATGTAAATATACATATATCTCAGATTACTAAATACGACCACTTATGTAAATACACATATATCTAAGATTAATAAATACGTTCACTTATGTAAATACACACGTATCTAAGATTACTAAATACGATCATTTATGTGAATAAACATATATCTTAGATTACTAAATACAATCACTTATGTAAATACACTCTGAGGGTGATGTTAGTGACTCGTGTCTGAAGGTGATGTGGGTGTATCATGTCTGAAGGTGATGTTGGCGTATCGTGTCTGAGGGTGATAAATACATCTGTTTGTGAGATTACTAAATAAGATCATTTATGTGAATACACACGTATCTAAGATTATTAAATACGATCACTTATGTAGATACACATATATCTCAGATTATTAAATAAGATCATTTATGTGAATACACACGTATCTAAGATTATTAAATACGATCACTTATCTAAATACACATATATCTCAGATTTCTAAATATGATCACTTATGTGAATACACATATATCTAAGATTACTAAATACACATATATCTTAGAGTACTAAATACGATCACTTATGCAAATACACATATATCTAAGATTACTAAAGTGTCTGAGGGTGATGTTTCTGTATCGTGTCTGAGGGTGATAAATACATCTGTTTGTGAGATTACTAAATAAGATCATTTATGTAAATACACATTTATCCTGTATTACTAAATACGATCGCTTATGTGAATACACATATATCATAGATTACTAAATACGATCAGTTATGTAAATACACATGTATCTCAGATATGTAAATAACATATATCTCAGATTACTAAATACGACCACTTATGTAAATACACCTGGATCTTGGATTACTAGGATCACTTATGTAAATACACATGTATCTCAGATTACTAGTTGAGATCACGTATGTAAATACACATGTATCTCAGATTATTAAATAAGATCATTTATGTGAATACACACGTATCTAAGATTACTAAATACGATCACTTATATAAATACACATATATCTTAGAGTACTAAATACGATCAGTTATGTAAATACCCATGTATCTCAGATTACTAAATAAGATCACTTATGTAAATACACATGTATATCAGATTACTAAATAAGATCACTTATGTAAATACACATGTATCTCAGATTACTAATTAAGATCACGTATGTAAATACACATGTATCTCAGATTACTCAATACGATCACTTATGTAAAAAGACATGTATCTAAGATTACTAAATAAGATCATTTATGTAAATACACATTTATCCTGTATTACTAAATACGATCGCTTATAAAAATACACACGGATCTAAGATTACTAAATACGACCACTTATGTAAATACACCTGTATCTTGGATTACTACATACGATCGCTTATAAAAATACACATGTATCTCAGATTACTCAATACGATCACTTATGTAAAAAGACATGTATCTAAGATTACTAAATAAGATCATTTATGTAAATACACATGTACCCCGGATTACTAAATACGATCGCTTTTATAAATACACACATGTATCTAAGATTTCTAAATACGACTCTGCTGTCGTAACTGCGATCTTCCGTTGGACAGAAATTAGGCCTCTAATAACATAGTATGTAGAAATGACTGTTCTGATTGATCGCTAGCTTAAAACATAACATGTGACCAATGGGGATATTTTCACTGTTGTCAAGATTTATGTTTTAACAAAATTTAGAATTTGGTTTTCATTGGTAAAAAAATATATTAGTGTGTGCGGTCGAATTCAAGAATTGACGCCAACTGTACATAAATCAATAACATCATTAGATTTGGTCTGATGCTTGAATAGGAAGGAAACTTGCAACACTTTTTGAGGAAAAGTATCAAACTAAACGGTTACAAATTGATCAATATGTTGATTGATTGAATAATGTTTTCTAAGTTACTTTAGACTTTCGTTACTGTCAAATACTGACGTGCAACATTTACTCGATTTCAATCGTCCGCGATATGGATATTACAATATGAAATCAATAATTTGATGTAAAATCAGGATATATGTATCCATGTCCAAATTAAGTACTTCACGTCCTAATACATGTTATCAAAACAAATCTTCTAACACATTAAGACTTCGATTTCTGTTACAGGCAAACTGATGGGGACGAATACTACTCACAGCCGATCGACTGCGCATGCGCCAGATGGGTTACAACTTCCTGACGACGATATGCTTGACACTACCAATTTTTCCGTCACGGATTTTTGGCGGATTCAGTCCCATGTTGAGTTCTCGAACAACTGGTTCGGATCCGTGAGTGTTTGTATCCTCGTATTCGGCTTTTGTCTCATCACAGTGTTCGGGACTACGGGGAATGCTGCAATGTGTTACATTATCATCAAGAAGAAAAATCTCAAGTCTTGTAGGAATTGGTACATTATGAACTTGTCTCTGTCGGACATTCTCACTTCCGTCTTATGTATTCCTTTCACTGTGGTACGATTGATTATGAAACATTGGCCACTTGGTGAAATCGTGTGTAAACTTGTGCCTACTTTACAGACAATCTACGTTTTCGTGTCCACCTTTACCATTATGTTGATAGCCGTGGACAGATACAGGGCCATAGTTCATTGTGCCAATGCCACTCGTGATCGAACGCGCCTCATGTATATTTTCCCAATGGTGTGGATGGTATCACTCGCCTTAGCACTTCCAATGTTCGTTTTTCACGAGGTTGAAGACGTCTACATTACTAAAGGAATATTTTTGTTCTCATCTTGTTTAGAGAATTGGAGCTCGGATATAGCTAGGAAGAGTTACGCCTCTGTGATATTAGGCATTCATTTTATATTCCCAATGATAGTTATAGTTTCTTTACACATCCTCATTTGCAAATTTATACGAACTCATATAGAATCAAAACCTTCGTATTCACGAGAACTTCACCGAAGTAGACGTAATCTATTACGACAGAGGAAAAACATAATCCTTTTGACATCTATTACAGTATCTTTTGCCATTACATGGCTACCCCTTACACTAATAAATCTCCTTGCGGATCTCAACTATCATCTTTTTACGGGAATAAATTTTAACTGGCTGAAAGCTGTTTGCCATTTACTTGCCATGAGCTCGGTCTGTATCAACCCTATCATTTATGGATGGTTCAACTCTAATTTCAGGCGCGAGATTAAAGCTATGATATGTCGAAGGCGACGTGAAAAGGATAACAAAAGCTTCCTGATGGGCCTGACAGAACATAGATCTTCTCGCTGTCGTGATCGAATCGAGCTTGGAGTATACGGCTTAATACCAACAAGAACAGATATTCGTACCATGGAAACCCGGACAGCCGAGGTCTGTCCCACTGAAACGCCTCACGATCATCACTTGTCCCCATTACCTGCCACCGGATGTTGTGTAGAGGCGGACACGGCTACTGGCTTACCAACTCACTTACTATCGGTCAGTTAACGCTCTTACTATCAACTCCAAGTTGATTTGTGTGACCTCTACAAATTCAGAAGGTAAGCCGAAATGACACACAGAAACTGGAACTTGGTGCTTTGAAATAGAAACATCAATACTGCAAGTTACCGGAACTTGATGAGGTTGATATCTGAATAGCAGATTGTCCATACTCAAAGCAGCATTGCCTTCTTTCCTTTCAAATACTTCCAACGTCGGTTTACAGATACTTCTGAAACTACCAGGGAAAGGTGCATGGGCTCCGACTTACCAGATCACTTGCTTTTGCCTTTTTTGATTATCATTTGACCAAATGCTGTAATGGAACGTAAGTATAAACATCGTCACACAGACGTTATTTTCTTAATGTGGAAATTTGATCATGTTAGTTTACAAGTTCCTAAGCAGTCAATGCTCCCTAGACATGTATCCAGGGATACTTTAACATTGAACTTTGACAGTGTATTCCTTTGTTTTTGTGCCTACTCATTATGTCATCCAGTAGGTGTAATATTATCATTTTGTCAAACAAAAGAATTGTGTTAAACATTTGACTTATTCCTTTAGAAAAAAGTTGTGGAGTTATTATTTACCAATGCAAGTTTCAAATTAAATTAATTAAATTGACATTCAAACTGACGAAAATTGTTTTTTGTAGACACAACAGAGATCATGAGTTAAAGGCAATAAATAGGTGCTATTCTGTGTGTTGATACAGGCCGGCTGGTCCGGGACTGGTCAGAGAGATTCCGTGGTTTTTTTATGATATCATGTTTTTTTCATGTTTATATTTATACATTTTCATACATATTCAAACATAGCGACTTCAACTTGTATTGTTTATATATTAAATATTGTTATAAATTTGTAAGTGTTATCACTCCTCATACATTCCGAGATATCCTGACAGTATTATAGACCAGTTATATAAGAATGTTGTACCACAATAATAGGACATTACTTATAGCGTTATCTGTATCAACACCTTGTTTATATAACTATTCGAACAGCCACGCTATTTTTGTTTACATTTTTTACGAAGTATAGAATGACAGTTGTTGTACGTAATAAAGATAAAATCATGTTTATTTTAAAGAATTTCTTCACGTTCATCATTACTTTACAAAAGCCTTATATTTAAATTGTCTTCGAGCCTTGAAATGACAAAAAGTATCGTTGGACGTACTTTGTACTTTCAAAATTGAGCAGAGCGCTAATTTAGTATTTATATATGTTCCAAACTACCACGTGATTTCGCTTGTCTTTACAATTGTTGGGTGATTGACATCGTTGTTCTGAAAATTTCAATTCAGACATAAGTTTGTGGTGATTAGATTTCAGCAATCACAGAGTTGTATTTATGAGCCTTTACCAACTGGGTTTTATTACGCTTTGGATGATTTGTAAAGACGTTTATAATGTTAATGTAACTGGTGACCAATCGCTTTGCTGTATTTTCTTATTGTATTTCATTGATTGAAGTAAATGGTTTGATATTGTTATATTTCAAAGTATCTATGACATTGTGTAAATTACACTAATGCATTATCGTACCGCATCCTGTATATATGTCCATTATGCAGCAATGCGCCAACTCACACTCTCACATTCCATAGTGTAAACGTGTGAGTGTTAACTAATCGGATGATTAACATTATTGTCTGACTTCAGCTTCCCTGGTTATGTAACAGCTGGTTGACAACACTTTGTCATGATAAGTTAACAATGACTCAGGGAATAATTACATCCTTCGTTGATTGCCAGCTCGTATGCAAACGTTAAACTTAATGAAGAACTCTTCTGAGGTTTAAACCACTTTCAATCTCGTTTTGGTCTTGTGTATAAAAAATATAATAAAATGTAACAAATTATCATCTATTTTAAAAGCAAACATGCATCTGAAAAAGTGTTAAAACTAGATGCCTACTGATTTTAAGAAAGTTTTAAATAATGACCAATTTGACAATCATTCGTGAATATCCCAGTGCAGCGTTAGAAGTTCACCTTTTGATCAAATTTTTTTCTCTGAAAGTTCACCTTTAGACCATAGTTTTATCACTAAAAGTTCACCATTTGACCATAGTTTTATCACTAAAAGTTCACCATTTGACCTTAGATTTATCACTAATAGTTCACCTTTTGACCTTAGATTTATCACTAAAAGTTCACCATTTGACCATAGATTTATCACTAAAAGTTCACCTTTATACCATAGATTTATCACTTAAAGTTCACCATTTGACCATAGATTTATCCCTAACAGTTCACCTTTTGACCATAGATTTATCACAAAAAGTTCACCTTTTGACCATAGATTTATCACTTAAAGTTCACCATTTGACCATAGATTTATCCCTAACAGTTCACCTTTTGACCATAGATTTATCACAAAAAGTTCACCTTTTGACCATAGATTTATCACTTAAAGTTCACCATTTGACCATAGATTTATCCCTTACAGTCCACCGTTTGACCATAGTTTCATCACTAAAAGTTCACCATTTGACCATAGGTTTATCCCTAACAGTCAAACGTTTGACCATAGTTTTATCACTAAAAGTTCACCTTTTGACCATAGATTTATCACTAAAAGTTCACCGTTTGACCATAGTTTTATCACTACAACTGTTACTGTTGAGTTTTACTGTGCAAGTTTCAAATGTTAAAATAACAAAAATCATATAAAACAAAGTGGAAAATTATATCATATTGACGTTTATTATTGGTTTTTGATCCCACAAAAATTGAAACAAATCACACAAATGATATGTCAAAAACAGAAACAGTCCAACATTTTCCTTTGATCCATTGAATATAAAGATATCAATCGTCAAATCTGCAAAATTTGGTGAAAAAATGAATATTGTTCCATTTGAAAATAAGGGGTAGGAGTAACCAAATTTCTTTTCTTGGATAAAGTATTAGTTTAAAGGATTATACTTCCACAATTTAGGATAAAAATCGGATTGTGTTCAAATATGCAAACATGCATACATTTCTGATATAACGTTTAGAAGATAGCGTATGCATTTGTTCGGCATACGGTCAAAACAAAAACCATTAATAGCATTTTTATGATACTCAAAATTGCTTCCAAATAGGTCCTTTATTCAAAACCTATAAATGATATTTGAACACGTCCTTATAAGAGAAGATCCTTTTATATTTAGATTTTAAGTTGGCGTTGCAGTTTCGAAATCATGGGCAGGGAAATGCACTGATCTCATTTTATTTCACTGTTCATATGAAGCTGTTGGTTAACGGGATTTAACGTTGTGTTTATAATATATAGCTTATGTTTTGTCAAGTCAAATGGGACATTGTTACTTGATATAAAATCATTGGTTCGTGTTTACTGTTTGTTTCACAGGAAAGTGGTCTTCTTAGATTATTCGTTAATGGTGGATATTTTTGCAAACTTTTTATATAAATCGAAGCTGGTTATTTTACTATTGTTATTGTATATTGTATAAGTGATGTGCTATAGACGGAAGGCTTTCTATTATTCGTTTTGTATAAACTATTTCAAATATTAGTATCACCCCGCTGATATTTTGTGAAATCAATATGTCAAATTACAGAAAACAATGACCAATTAGACATGTGAATATGGATAACAAGACAAACTTGAGTACTTTGGTTAGTGCATCGAACATTCATATTTCGAAGTATTAAAAACTTATAATGATAAATACAGTGATAAATTTAAATTGATATTTGAAATAGCGTTTTTTAATAATTTAAATCATTTATCATTTTGAGGAAGGTCTAGTGGTGACAAACCCTCTGATATTCTGTATGTGTTGGTAAGTGTATATTTCTGTATTTGTAGGAATGTTATTTCTATTTGGCAAAACAATAAACTTAAAGAAAAGAAATAAGTAGTCTGTTAAAAATCACTGCTTGAGACGTGATATATACAAAAGCCCTGATTTTTAAGCGTTTGATCATTGTTTTTTAAATTTTCGTCAATAAGGATTACATTGTAAAACATCACGAGCAACTTATTTAAGTGCGACAAAGAGGACGATAAAACGTTAGTGAAACAACGCCACAATATCATGAGAAACTTGATGTCAAGGTTGTTCGACATTACATTTGAAATTAGAGTATTTGTGTCATTTTTGTGAATTTATCATATGTATCGTACTTGATCTCATGGTAAGATAATTATACCAGATATCCATATTTTTAATTTGACTAAATTATAATTTAAAAACATCATGAATTATATTTTAGGAATTTTACTTTTTCAGATGAGATTAATAATATATTTCTAATATGTATTTTGTCTTTTTGAGAAGGGTCTCGACAAGTCGTTGAATGTTTCTGTATGTGCTGATAAGTTGATAAGTGCATGTTTCTACATTTGAACTATGTTATTTCTATTTGTAAAAATAAAACCACAAAATTGTGTTCTTGTTTTTTCTCTTTGATTGTCATGTAACGTTTGGCATGTTCACACGACGATGTCCCGGTCAAGTACTTAAAATGCAATTAAAAAAATCATTATATGTTTTATCATATGCATTTATGTTGCATTATACATACATTATTTACAAATGCAACTTTAGGAAAATGGAGAAAAAAAAAGGTTTCTTTTTCATGTTGTTTTTCATGATTTGACGAACACTCCCTGTCCATGATTCGGTTACTTCTCTTTTTCTGTTAATTTTCTTGTCTTGTATCTTTTGCAATATCAACTTCAGGCGCTCAAGACTCTAAATAGTCTGCCGTCTGGTGTCAAGACTCTAAATAGTCTGCCGTCTGGTGTCAAGACTCTAAATAGTCTGCCGTCTGGCCAAGTGTCTTTCCTGGCGATGCATCGTTTAATATATGAAATCCTTAGCAGACAAAATGGCGGCAGCGAAAGATTCGCCGACGGCGACTCTGCTGCTACTTCACCTCGTTTTTAATTCCGTTTTATCCATCGACACACATCGACACATATCTTTCGAAAGGAAGAACGTTTAAGAGTAAATTATCAAAAGAATCTGGGAATCTAC